CTGCAAGCGCGACGCCAAAAATCGACCCTGAGTTGAAGGCCATACTCACCTCGTTGACCCAACTCGTCTCGGTGCTTGGGAACCAAGCCCGCGGCGCTCCAGCAGCTCCAGCACCGCAGGTTGCCGCCCAGGCGGCCCCGAGGCCCTACAATAACAATAACGCACCTTATGAGCGGCCACCGGGCTGCTCGTACTGCAAAGACATGAGCCACTTCATTGGCGAATGCGTGAAACTTCTCGAGGATCTGGAAAAAGGCTTAATCAAGCGCAACCAAGAGGGCAAGGTAGTTCTGCCCAACGGAATGTACCCACCACGCAGTGCTGACTTGAAGTATCTGCGCGAGCGCGTCTTGAAATGGCACAGAGAGAATCCTGGCCAAGCGCCCGCGCCACAACTCGTCGTCGATGTCGTACAGAAGCTGGCCAAAGTGGCCAAGGAATCCCCCCACGATACATTCGTCTTGAGGCGATGAGCAGCGGCTGGAAGCAATACTCGTTGAGCAGCAGATGCTGCGTACGCGGATGGCGGCGAGGAAGGAAGCAGAGGCAAGAAAGGGAGCGGAAGCAAAAGCCGCCGAGGCAGTGCCATCCGCGGAATCGGCAGAAGTGACCGATCACCGAGCACAGCCCGATCACCGATCTGCTTCCGCTGCCACGTCAAACGACGACTTGACTCCGCCCACAGCCCAGGTGCGACCAGCAACTTCGAGCGGCCAGAATAACGCGGTACAAGCAACAACAAACGAGCAAACGTGGGAGGAGCCGACAGTGCCCTTCCCCGAGCATCCTTATGCAGCTGCCCGCGATGCGGCATACGCGCCACCAGCTCAGCGAAATGTTGGCGCGCTGCCTAAACCTCCAGCTCGGCCGCCAATACACGACCCAAAGAACGCACAAGATATGCTGGATGCTGTACTGGACGCGGACGTAACCGTCAAGGCCCGAAAGCTGTTGGCGACACCGGAGGTCTCGGCTCTGGCACGACATTCATTCACCCCCCGCCGCCCAGTCGATAAAGCAGCCGAACAGCTGTTACTGGAGGAAGACCCTTTTGCGTTCTTGTCTGCGGACATCACCGACTCGTGTGAACGCAACTCTGCGGCGGACACCCGCCAGGATTCAATTCGCAACGCGCTGCCGGATGCGGTCGCGGCGGCTGCTGACAACGGCAAAACGGGGGTCTTTGTACCAGACGCCTTCGTTGCGCTTTACGACCAAGGCCGCTTGCCCGAGGGACTCATCACGTCGGGCGGAAACGACTGCTATCCGCTGCATACTCCCGGTTGTCGATAACCAGGAGTATGTGGAGTCAATCGTCGACCCTGGCTCGCAAATCTGTGCCATGTCGGAGGCCCTCTGTCACCGGCTCGCACTTCAATACGACCCGACAATCGTCCTCCACATGCAGTCCGCGAACGGCGCAGTCACGCCCTCGCTCGGAGTCGCGAGGAATGTCGCGTTCGCGCTGAAGGACATCATCCTCTATCTGCAAATCCACATTGTGCGCAACCCCGCATACGACATTCTCCTCGGTCGACCGTTCGACGTCTTGACGCAGTCAGTGGTGCACAACTACAGCAATAACGACCAGACAATCACCATCCGCGACCCCAATACTGGGAAGACTGCGACCGTGCCAACGCTACCGCGTGGCTCATCCCGAGCGTCGAAAGAGGGTTTTCTCGAGCTGAAGTCTACTCGGTTGAAGCAGTAGACCACCCCTGCGACTTTGCGCTCGTCATCATCGACCATGACGCGCGGGCGGATACTTTTCAAATCTCGGCATTCAAAACTCTCGAATCGGACACCCGCGAAAATATTCAACTGGCCTACCTTGCTGCGTGCGACAATCTGGGCGACAGTCACAACACAGTGCACTCCGCTCATCTTGTGGAGCAACTGGTCTCTACGAATACCCCAAACTCTCATGGGCTAGTCCCAATCTTCTCGCTCTATCCTCCTAATATTTCTGCTCCTTCTCTTCCTTCCTCATCTCCTCATTCTCCACTAGTTAATGTGTTCGCTAATCGAAAATACAAGCCTGTTTCACAGAAAATACGACCCGTGCTCGACGCGCTACCTGAGAAATTCCGGATTGTGAGGAATATACTAGGCGACCCACTGGCGGACATGCCAGCACTCGACCCGCACCCACCGCCCTTTGTACCTACTGGACGATACACACAAGAAAGACGTGACGCGCTCGATGCAGCGCATTCTGGCGATTTCCTCTGGCCAATGGAGGCGGCAGCTACTACACCATTTCATGTGCCTGCAGAACGGCGCATTCGCATGGGAAGACTCTGAGAGAGGCCGTTTTCGGACGGACTTCTTCCCGCCCGTCGACATGCCAGTAATGCCGCACACACCTTGGGTTCAGCGGAACATCCCAATCCCGCGAGGCATCTACGATAAAGTCTGCGAGGTGATCAGAACCAAGCTGGCGGCTGGAGTTTATGAACCGTCGAATTCCTCGTACCGATCTAGATGGTTCTGCGTGGTCAAGAAGGACGGAACGAGCCTCAGGCTGGTGCATTCTCTAGAACCGCTTAATGCGGTGACCATCCAGCACTCCGGAGTTCCACCGTTCACGGACCAGCTCGCTGAAAACTTTGCGGGCCGCGCATGCGGCGCCATGTTGGATCTCTACGTTGGCTATGACGAGAGGCTGCTAGCGCCGAGCTCCCGCGATTATACAACGTTCCAAACACCGTTTGGCGCCTTGCGACTAGTGACGTTGCCGATGGGGTGGACAAATTCTGTCCCAATTTTTCACGACGATGTAACATACATCTTGCAGGACGAAATTCCAGACTACACGCAACCGTTCATCGACGATGTGCCCGTACGGGGGCCTCCATCGCAATACCTGTTGGAGGATGGCACCTGCGAGACGATTCCCGTTAACCCCCAAATACGGCGCTTTGTCTGGGAACACATGCAGAACCTTAATCGAATCGTACAACGCATGAAGTACTGCGGCGGGACGTTCTCGGGTAAAAAGTTGACTCTCTGCGCAGAAGAGTTCATGGTCGTTGGCCATGTGTGTACGCCGCGAGGACGCATCGCAGACAAAACTCGTGTCGCCAAGATCGTCAACTGGGGCCCGTGCAAAAATTTATCGGATGTTCGCGCTTTCCTAGGCACTGTAGGAGTGTGCCGCATGTTCATCAGAAATTTTGGACACCGGGCCAGTGCACTAATCGAACTAACGCGAAAGGACGTACCTTTTGTTTTTGGCCCAGCACAATTAGCGGCACAGGAAGACTTGAAGCTCGCTGTGCTGCATTCTCCGGCTCTTAAACCCCTCGATTACTCGGTCGGGGCACCGCCAATAATTCTGTCTGTTGATACTTCCCGAATTGCCATCGGCTTTCTGCTGTCACAATGCGATCCCCTGGAGCTCGCTCGCCGTTTCTACTCACGATTCGGTTCAATTACCCTCAACGAACGCGAGATGCGTTTCTCTCAGGCAAAACTCGAGCTCTATGGTCTTTTCCGCGCACTACGAGCCTGTAAATTGCACCTGGTAGGACTCCGAAACCTCATTGTGGAGGTCGACGCTCGCTACATCAAGGGAATGCTCGCAAATCCAGATCTAGAACCATCAGCAAGTATCAACCGCTGGATACTGGCAATCCTGACCTTCCATTTCACGCTTGTTCATGTCCCGGGTGATCACCACGGCCCGGACGGCCTGTCCCGCCGGCCGGCCCAACCGGGCGACCGGCCAGAAACAGAGGATGACTTCGACGACTGGATTGATCAAGTTCACGGCTTCCTGCATATGATTAACGACTCACCGTATGCCCAGAAACCCCAGCAATTGGTTGCCGCGTTCTCAGCGGAAGCCGTCCCAGACGTTGGCCCTCCACCAGATTCCCTCGACTACAGCCTGGTACCGCGATCAGCGGCCGCGCGAATGGCGGATGCGCGATTAGAGTGGGTCCGCTGGTGGCATCAGACTCTGGAGCGGCCGCGCGGTACATCTGACGCTCAGTACAGCGCATTCATGAAATACTGTACAGAGTTCTTTGTGCAAAATACACAACTCTGGCGCAAGAATGCACACGGAAAGCACAAATTGGTCATCTCAGCTGAGCGTAGACTCTTCATCTTGAAGTCAGCACATGACGATGTTGGGCATAAGGGTTTCCACGCGACAAACGCGTTGTTGACGGAAAGATTCTGGTGGCCATACCTACCGAACGACATAAATTGGTATCTCAAGACGTGTCACCTGTGTCAAATTCGGAAAACTCAACGGCTTCTGATTCCACCGACGGTCTCTGCGCCTTCGCCAATATTTGCAAAAGTGTACATTGACACAATGCACATGCCCCGGAGTAACGGGTTTGCGTACATTGTACAGGCTCGTTGCTCGCTCACCCACTACCCCGAGTTTCGTATGCTGCGACGGGAATCCTCGCAAGCGATCGCCGACTGGATTTTCCAAGATATTCTGTGCCGCTGGGGCACGCTTTTGGAAATTGTCACCGACAACGGATCGCCTTTTGTCAAAGCGTTAACTTACCTCGAGGAGAAGTATCATGTGAAACATATCCGCATCTCGGGCTACAATTCCCGCGCGAACGGTCTTGTAGAGAGAGCCCACTTTGATGTGCGAGAAGCGCTCTTCAAGGCGTGTGATGGTGATGAGAAACGATGGGCGATGAGCGCACACTCGGTATTCTGGGCTGAGCGATGCACAGTGCGCCGCAGGATGGGGTGCTCGCCATATTTTGCGGTGACAGGCACGCACCCGCTGCTCCCGCTAGACATCTCAGAAGCGACATATCTTGTTCCGCCCGCCAGGTCACGCGCTCACGACAACGGAGCTGATATCATCAAGAGCTATTACATTGCAAAAGCGGCAGTCTCACCTCGCTGCGCTCCACTCAAGAATTCTGGCGGCACGTTTAGAAGATGCCCGAAGGTTTGAGCTTGAGCACGCAGCATCAATTCACGACTATAACTTTGAACGCGGCTCTCTGGTCCTGATGAAGAACTCGGCAATCGACAAGTCCATCGGCCAGAAGATGCGGGACCGCTATAATGGTCCATTTGTCGTGATTTCGCGGAACAGAGGTGGAGCATACATTCTTGCAGAACTTGACGGATCAGTGTTCGACCGCCCGACAGCCGCCTTCCGCATTATTCCATATTTTGCGCGCGAGAAAATCGAGCTGCCGCCTCTGGATGATTTCCTGGACGTGTCAACACAGCGTTTGAGGGAGTTAGAATTAGCAACAACAACGGACCCAGATGATGACGCGTAGGGGTTAGTTCCTTCCCACGACATGCCAGTTCCACCTGCGTAGGTGGAACCGGGATGACATCATACGGAGCCAACCCGCCGTTCATCCGCAGTGTCTAGAAATATAAAATTTGGAATGCTAAGTAAAGTAAAACAGCCGCAGGAAACAGTTCCGACTACAAAAAGAAACAGCATAGAAGCAAAAAGAAAAGTCTTATCTCATCGCTCCCCCGCTCTGCTACAGCTCCGCCGCTCACCCTCGCCTCGAAAACAGCTACAGCCCAAGATGCCTTCCGCCCCATCGACACGCCGCGCTCGCACTCAGCAACACCGAGGTGTCCGTTCCATCGCGGGACGGCTTGCCGGTGACCCCGACTTCTGTGCACAAATTTCGGCAGAACTCTTGAGGATCCGCGCGGACCGTGCTTCCCTCCCATCACGCTTGGTTACCGACTCTCCCGCGGCACAGTCATCTCCGGCCCGCTCTGGCCCAGCTACTTGCGCATACTGCGGCAGCCGTGGTCATGGCAAATTCACCTGTCGGACCAGCCGCGTACATGTGGCAATGGGGTATGTCAAGTACAACGCTGCGGGACGCTATGTACTGCCGAACGGGGATCACTTACCCATGGATGTTGGCGCCCGCCAAGGAACCATTCACAACCGAATGATGGTTTACTACGACTCTCACCCTGCCGAGGCAGAGGCAATCCGCGAAAAGCGTATGCCAACAAGTCCAAACCCCGCCGGCCCCTTGCTTTCCCACGTCATTCGGTCTCCCCGGCGCCCTCACGCACGCCACTGTACATTGACGATCCGGAGTTCTTCCCCTCGACTCGTCACTCACCAGCACCCGCGACCGCGGCGGGATCGCTGACACCTGCGTCACTTCCCGACTTACTGCCTGGCTCACCAGCGCAGGAGGTCATTGATGCAACATCACTGTCGGACCTCGGGCCCTGGGACGTGCCCAATCGTTGCCACTTTTGTGACAGTGCAGCACACGTTGCCAAGGACTGTCATTTCCAGTGCTGGACCTGTCACTCAAACGAACACGACGACAGCGTTTGTCCCAGTCGCGCATCAACCTCGGCCACTCACTGTCACTCCCCATGTTTCAGCCCCGACTCTCCCGTCTATTCGCCCAAATCCCCGATCTATTGTCCGTCATCATGGGATGAGTTGGTGGATGACCAGTCTGACATGGAATTGGATTCCGAGTCGGACTGGGCAGACATTGACACATCACGCGGCGACTCCTTGGGCGATCCTATCGAACTCTGATTGACTGCTACACAGCCCTGATTATCATCCCTCGCTTAACCTACAATCATTAATGCTCCACCATCACTCTTTCCCTCTTACTCACTCATCAGTCTCTTCTAGGATGACCGTGGACGGTCATCTTTTCAGTTGGGAGGAGGTGACGAGCCAGGCTCGTCACGTGGTTGTCGCGTCTGTCACATCACGTGTCACGCGCGTCACACAGGTGCCTTTCCCTATTTTCTGTTCATTTCTGTTCCTTGTCCTTGTTCCTTTCCTTTGTCCTGGTTCCTGTCCCTTGTTCCTGTCCCTAATAGTAGCAGTTAGCATATATAAGCCTTGTAGTAGGATAGCTTGAAGCAGAGTTTCTCTCCCCCAAAGTCTCAAAAGTCTTCTCTCTCTGTTCTGTTCTCCCCAGCTTCTCTCTGCTCAGTCTCAGCCAGCCAGTCATAAGTCAGCTGTTAGCCTTTAGGTTGCAGTTAGTGCTTTTTGGAAGGCTCTCTCTTTTTCAGCTTCTTGCTCATTTGTGTGAGCAAGTGCGTCAACCCTGAACCTGACAAACCCTACCTGACTTGTACTCTACCCTCATCTTGCACATATAGATATGCATATAATGAATGAGGTATATACCTTTCTCTCAGTTTATTTCTACATTCTAACATGAAACCCTCTATCACTTCAACCCTCCACTCGTGCTTTCCAGGGAAGAGTAAAATGTGGACAATGAAGAGGATCAGGATGTAGCGATGGCGGCATCCGGTTTGGCCTTCCAGTTTGAAGCTGAACTGGACCAAACCAAATACCGTGTAGGGTAGAGCAGAGGTCAGGGTCAACTCGCAGGGTTTCAAGATAGGGTCTGTCAGGGTCAAGATACACCAATTCTTGAATCCGGCCAAACCCAGACCCTTTCTGAATCAACCTGGAGGGTCCAATAAGTTTTTGTGATTTAATAATTTCCTATCTAAATATGATTTTATGACTTTTTAAGAGACAAAAAAAAATCAGATGTCACTCAAGTCACTCAAGTGACATGTGACATATGAGTAGATTGTATTCAATATCCTTAAATTCTTGAGGAATAGGCTACATATACTATATCTGAGCCCATATCATATAGCAAAATGTATATTATGTTAAAATTATTGTTCCAAATACATCTTCTGCTTCCCTGTCTGCAACCCGTGGGTCAACCCAGACCCGGTTGGACTCGTATCCAGAAGAGTCAGGGTTAGTCAGGGTCAGGGTCAGCGCTCTTGACTTTTCTCATTTCCGCTGTCACCCGGAAATGGGAATTGTGGAGCAAGGGATCGGACGATCGCTGGACTTTGCTGGAGCAGTGTGACGCAAGCCGCCGTGACGCAAGCCTGATGCAAGCCGCTGTGACGCAAGCCTGACGCAAGCTGCCGTGGACGCAAGCCGCCGTGACTCCGAGTGAAGTATTCTCTCCCTTTCCCTCCTCCGTCATCTCTCTTTCATCTTAAATCCAGGCACTCCCCGCGCACCATGCTCTCCATACTCACTGTAGCCGTGACTATGACAGGAGGCCAACCCGTCGTTTAGTGACAGTCAGACTCAAGCTTTTCGGGCAGCGTGGGCTAGTACCGGCCCGGGTGCCACTCAAAGTGCTGCAAGGCGACGTGGGGTGACCGGGCAGTCAGTCTGGGAGTACTTAATGTACATTCAATGTCACTTGTGGATTATAGTTAAAGCTCCGCACGAGTGTCAACACCCGCGGATGTTTGCACAGGTACCTGCAGGAAAACATCCGCAGGTTTGACATCCGCGGATACAGGTATCCGTTTCCCCACGGATGCCAAGAGTACAGGTATGACTCTTGAAGATCTCAATTTTCATTATCTTCCATATATTCCAGTCACTACAGTCTTCTTATGCCCTGTGGTGTCCATATCAGTATATTACTGGATACTATATCCTATATAAGCTCTTAATATTGTCAATATACCTCAGTATCCTAATATTTTATTCAAAATACCCGTGGATAACCCGTGCAGGTACCCGTATCCGTGAGTACAGGTACCCGTTTCCCACGGATGCTGCAAATGCAGGTATTGGTTTTGAAGCCTAAATTACCTGCAGGTAGAGTACAGGTACTTATCCGTGACACTCGTGAGAAGCCTTAATTATAGTACTTGACATTGTCTGCCTACTGCATATGAAACTGACTTGTCCTGCCCAACTTCAAGGACTTGGGAATTCGGTACATGAGTGACCCAATTGTGACCCCCGGACATCCGGCCGATCGCCGGCGATCACCGTCTGAGATATTCCTTTTCCGGGTGACAGCGGAAATGATAAAACTTCACAACTCAGGGTCAGGGTCAGCCTTCTGAGACCCGGTGATAAGCCGCAGTCTGGGACAGACCAGGAAACGACTATTTTTGTCGATTTTGTTGCTCAGCGCACGTCTCAGAGTTGACATGAGTCCCGAATGGTCAACTAGGGAGTTACCTGCACAAGAACATATCAAAATCCAGTCAAATCCTATCAAATCGCTCATAGTGATTCCAAAGTCTTGACTAGGAAAAGTTCGCAGAGCCCGCTTCTCGCTAGAATCCATCCAATTCTATGCAAAATACCCAAAGGGAGTGTATTCTAAAAGGCATATTCGGTTTGGCGCTCAGTGGAGACTCGAAATCGACAACTCCTAGACTAGGGCCACCCCTATCTCTGTTGGTATCGACGACTGACATCATTGGAACGTGGTTTCGGATCATGCTGGAGGATCGGGAGTGCCAAGGGACGGTTAAACGGTGAAAAACCTACTCAATTGATTGGGGCCTGGACCTGTGATCAACGGCGACTCTAAAACACTGTCGAGGAACTGATCATCTGAACATTGGAAATGCGCCAGGAGAGTTGGGACAACTACCGCTGAGGCCATACGCACAAGATACGAGTTATGGGTGTCAATCGAAAGCTGGGAAGCAGAGCTATCCACTTATCCTACTCAAGATCGAGGGATTCTTCACAAGCAAAATTAGATGGTCGCGAACACGGAAGATTTACACAGGTCATTGACTCCAACACACGCGATACCAGTCATCTGGACCTGGATTTTGCGACTCCGGGTCGTATGGCGAAACGATACCTATACAATTATGCACATGGACGACTTTTCTTACTCGAGATTTTCCCTGATTCTATCAATTTCTGTTTAGTATTTATACCTCTGTTTTGTATTTGGCAGGTTCACGGATTGCCCCGCTCTACTAGGTGCATCTGGGGATCTAGCTCGTCAATTTATCTTGCTAGCTCTTTCGAAATAGTATCATCGCGTCGAAGGATTATTGGTTGAGGGTTTCGGTTGCCGTTTAAAAGAGAGTTCCGGTTGCTGTTTATTGGGTTTCGGTTGCTGGTCGAGAGTTTAAGGCAGTTAGTTCCTGACTCGAGACAACTCAGAGGGTTTAAGGCAGTTAGTCCTGATCCAACGAGTATAAACTCTCCGGGCATCGTATTGGCGCTTCTCTATTGCTGAGTTTCGTCGATAGTACGCTTTGGGGCACAACAAATCAACGTTTTTCGCAAGAAACTCGTATCAACCCTACAACCTTACACATTTGTGCCAAGGCTCTGTTCACAGGGGTCTGTTCTCGCACAAGGAGTCGACGATATTTTGGGTTTTGTGACTTTCCCTACTCGACATTATACAACTTTCTCTCTATCTCAAGTGGAGTTTTGGTTGTTTTTGTTAGTTTGGTTAGTTAGAGGCTCATTTGCTTTGTCCCCACTCCGCACTCA